GGGGTGTGGGTGTGGGTGTGGGTGGTGTGGGTGTGGGTGTCGGTGTGGGTGGTGTGGGTGTGGGTGTGGGTGGTGTGGGTGTGGATGTGGGTGTGAGTGTGGGTGGGTGTGGGTGTGGGTGGGTGTGGGGTGTGGGTGTGGGCGTGTGTGGGTGCGGGTGTGTGTGCGGGTGTGTGGGTGGGTGTGGCTGTGGCTGTGGCTGTGGGTTGATGAATCAGGTACCAACTCCCACACCCACACTCACCCACACACCCACCCCCACCCCCACCCCCACCCCCACACCACACCCACACACACCCACACCCACACCCAAACCCAAACCCACACCCCACACCCACCCACACCCACCCATACCCACACCCACCCACACCCACACCCACACCCACACCCCACACCCGGTCAACCAGACTGATTAAAGTAGAACCTATCTATTTCTCAAGGCTGACTATATCATGTTGTAGAGAACACTTTGCTCTGTCAGAAAATGTAGTCGTTTCTTTTTTTTCTCATAAAGGAGAGAAAAGCTGCACGACAGACAACATAGGTAGACTTCTTGAAATATCTATACGTTTTCGTGCTTTTAAAGAAACGTTTGAAAAAAGAACAGAATTTTAACTAAAAATTGAAGCGTCATATATATTACGCATGGCGAAGTTTGGACTTTCTTCTGATATAATTTTCAGCCGCTTTATGAGTAGTAGAAAAAAACGGGGAATATCTGAAAACTTCATAAAATCTGGAGTGAGTGCGTTACCGATTAGGGCTTTTAGTTTAGTTTACGCCACAATCATATAGGCATTTAAGTTGATACTTAAGAACTTCCGTTACCTTTCCATGGGCTATCAAAGGGCTAGGTTGGTTTTTACTTACACATTTTTTCTGCCGAAAAAAATGGTAACGCACTCACCTTACCAAACCACTTCCATGTTTTAAACCCCATATATGTATGTTTGATGAGATGGATTGCTTCTATAATACATGGCTTTCGATATGATTTATTAATGTTGCTATCTTATAGAGATGTCAACAAGCCATGATTTCTCTTGGCTTCACGTATCAGGCTTTAGGTTAAATTAGATCTGGCAGGTAGACCTACGCTCGGAGCTTAGGAGTTCACCAATTCATATTTGATCGGTTGATATGTTGACTGAAGATACGTGTGAATTACATTTTTCACCTTTATCATATATTTCATAGAAATCTCGACTGGCTATTTCCTCTTTTTTCGCAAAGAAATGACAAAATGAAACGAAAACCGAAACCATTACTCGATTGAAATATGGCATAAAAACTTAATAAATGAATATTTCAACTAGAACAATTTTTCAATAATATTTTGTCAAAGAAATAGATATAAAATTCATACATTCTTGTTTCTGGACGAAATATGCTATTCAGTATCGATTATAAGAGTGATTTAACAGATAACAGAAAAGTACTTGTGATATACTAACAGTTATGGAAGCACAAACATTAGCTCTACGACACTATTTCGTATCCTATTTTGTATTGTGAAATCTTATATAATTTTGCTACCAAAGTCGAAGAAAGCTATTTTAACACGTCTGAAGTGTGAGAGAAAACAACAAGTCCACCAGAAAAAAAAAATTAGAATACGAAAAAGTGAGTGCGTTACCGTAGTATTTTAACTACAGGCCTAAAGCAGCACAATATTTTTAAAAGATTGTTTTACCATTAGATAGCCCTAATTTTCTGCTACAAACTTTCTATGAATCATATCTCTTAATAAATGAACCATTCGCAGGAATCTTAACATTTCTGATACCACTAAGAAAGGGAAGGGCCTTTTTTGTGAGTGCGTTACTGTCCTGTATTTTCCTTGAAAAATTTGAATAATAAAGCCGATCGAGGTGAAACTTATAGTGGTTGTACAGTTTTGCAAGATGCATATATGCACCAAGTTTCAAGGCTTTACGCTTTACCGTTAGAGAGAAATTCAAATCGAAACTTGACAAAATGTGAGTACGTTACCTGCGGACAAGCCTAGAGTGAACTATTTTAGAAAACAAATGAATTGAGCTTGATATTTCTATTTATGTATTTGAAAAAATATTTTTTTGATAATATAAATCATTTCAAATATGTTTTTAGATGCAGCCATTTTTCAATTAGAGTTTTTAGACTTTTATATTTACTAACTGATGGCTCATTCAATCCAAGAATAGTGCGAAGCTAAAAACTACTCTTTGTGCTTTAAGACAATATATTCTATCTTACGATTATGTATGAAGTGACTTCAAAGAAGAACTCAATTAAAATCATTGATTTGAATATAAACGGTGATTGATAAGTTTTGACCCGATTTATAATTGATGAGATTCTTCAAAATGAGATGGAAATCTATGAACCATCCTTTATGAACCTTTTTTCTTTTGATTAAGGTTCCTTATAACCATGTGATATAACAAGCTGCATCGAAATTTTTTATGTTTATTATATGTTCTATTCATGTTGAATAAGGATGTGGATGTGAGTGTGAGTGCATGAAGAGAATATAAATAACCACACCCACATCCTCGTGTGTGTGTCAGGAGAAGTCGAGTGTAAATGATACTTCCATTGTCTTTGGACTTCATGCATATTTTCAAAAATCGAAAAAAGTTGCACCATGGCGACTTTTTCTTCCATAATACGTGTTATAGACATATCTAAACAATTGTAAAGGCAGCGAAGTGCTTAAATTTCATCACAAAACCATAAGAGCAGAACTATGTAGCGAAGAATTGAGAGACAAGAGTACCAGTGCCGTTTTGCACGATGTTTACTCGACTACTCCATATCCCTAAGTGTATCAATTTCACATAGAACACGAGCTTATATAGGAGAGAGAGAAAAGTAGGAAAAGGAACGAACGACAACGAGAGAATAAGAAGGAAAGAGTAAGCCAAGAGAGAAAGTGATGATGTCATGGCAGAGTGATATGATTATTGGCGCAAACTATGTAAATGGAGTGAAGACAATGTTTTCCAAAGGTCTTCAGTAATTTATTAGATACATAATTACAGGTTTCAGATGTATTAGTGAGCTGTTTATGCATGAACTAAACCTTGAAACTATCCTGTATCCTCGGAAAAAAATCAGCTCATTTGGTCAAAGTACCGCGGAGATAAGCAAATGTTTTTTTTTTGAGGAATAATCTTCTGGATACCCTATAGTTGTAGAAATAAAATTGCATAAGTGTACAAGTTATTTTTTTTTAATCACATACTATTATTAATGTCTGTTGACGAAGATATAGAATTCGCTGACATGAATCATGCGCAACATCGAAAACATGTTACAAAATTTTAACAAGATAGATATTGTGAAATAATCCAGTTAGTTGCCGTAGTTCTGTTATTTCGATAAGGAAAGGTAAGTGAAATGTGTAGAGACAGACTCAATACAAAAAAAACCTATTTCAGAATCAGTTTAACGCTTTGCGGTCTTTCAGGTTAAGATCAAAGTGTAGTATCTGTTATCGTCGGTTTGAAAGCCGGCGCTAGTCCCATTTGGGCCAGGATCTGTAAAGCGAATTTTTGGACATCGGCCAAAATCATCCGATTTCACTTGGACTCGTGCCACGGATCATCTCGACACTGCAATGCCGTCGAGTTCGATCCACTCTCATTTCTTTACGAAAACGGGAATCATAATTATTAATCGAAAAATAACATCAATATTTTCTTCAGTTTAGATTTATGCTCATACAGGGGAATTTGCCATTATTCTTCATCTGTGAGTTAAAAGAAATCTAAACGATCATTACTTATAAGAGCTCATTGCTTAGTGTCACTTGCACGATTCGATAACAACAATAAAGTATTGTATTTCATTTTTAATAAAGAGACTTTCATCATATGCATGGAATCTATTGGCGGATACCTCTGAAAGTATTTTAAACGGTAATCAGTGAAACAGAGCCATTATTTTCAATGAATGCATAAGACTTTTAGGTTAATCATCATATGAAAATATATTTCATATATTGCTGGCTTTTGCAGAGCGGTATTTAAGTTTCCACTTTTTTGTTTCATGCTGGTTTTTATTACTATTTTGCTCGCTTTGTTGTGTCGTATACTCTCACGTTCAACTGGAAATCAAATTATTCGATTAAAAATAAATATTCCGGAACGAATTGTATGGTTTTGCTCATCACAACATGGAGAATATGTTAAAGAAATTTTATTTTATTTTAGTTTTTTTTTCTCAGTAGTCCCATCAACATGGGACAATTCATTTGATGTTCTAGTAGTTTATAGCTTACTTTTAAGTAAAGTCCAATTTTTCAAGTGAGTCAACGGGATGAAA